GAATTATCACACGTACAAATTAATATATAAAACTTTTATATTTTAACATTTTATCTATTTTTAGATGTTTAAAAAGAAATTTTCGTAAATATTAGTCTCTTTACTTTTGTTTAGTATGATATTTTTTAAAGCAATTGCCGAGTTGCATCTTCTTGTCTAAAAAAAATATAAAAATTTGTTTTTTAACATATGATGTCTCTGAGCACCTGGAATTTATTCCAACAATATTGTGTAAAGATGCAATAATATTTTTTTTGATACAGGAGGGTCGGGTCTTATCAATTTCTCAAAAATGCCACAAGTATAGCACGTATTCGAGTCATTTTACATTTCAGAAGGTTGTACATTGTACAACATTTCCAGTTTCAAAGAAATCAAACGAAAATGTACATCGCTGATCATGTATCGCGTCAAACCGAATGGTGATCGAGAGTCGCCGCTCGAGTAGCTGCAAGAAAATATACGGTGACCAAGAGTCGTCTACCTCTGAAGTGCAAAGGGTTAATATATAATGCATAAATCATTGATGTGAATTTTAATCTCTAGGTAAAACACCCTTGATCTACGTATAGCGATGATCAACGTGTTAAATGTAAAGCAGTTGTTTATACGCTGCAAAATGTAAAAAAGAATTCTCATAAATAGTGCTATATATATACTTGTTTGTAACAAGTAAGACGATGACACATACACAAACACACGTATATAAATAATTATTATCGATCTTTTAATCTCCGTTTAAATAAAAAATTGTATACGATTATTGAAACATAAAAAAACAATTGCTCAGTATGAATATTCTAGTAGTTACTTTATTTCTTTATTACAAATAATTGTAACTACCTTTTTTTCTCTTCTGTATCAGTCAAACGAATTGTTGAATATTTATTGTAGCGCAATGATATATGCTTGGAATATTTTATTTTATTTTATTTTATTTTATCCATAAATAAAAATTATTTTATTTCTGATTCAATAGCAAAAAAAAGAAACATTATCTTTAATATGTTTTTAATTAAATAAGAATAGTTGCATTAAAAAAAAAAAAAAAAGAAACGTATAGGTATTACAATTTTTGATAACATTGTGTATTGACATATTTATTATAAAATGATTTAATAATTTTAGAATAATAATAATAATATGAAAATTATTAGTTAATATCATATTTAATCTTAAAAAGTGTATTGTCAATAATATAACAGTTATGCAGTTAATAACGCAAATTAAAATTATCCATTCCTTTTTTCAATGTTTATAATATTTTCTGTAAACATAAAAAAACAATATTGTAACGTTACTTCTAATTTATATACTCTTACGAAAGAATTTTACATTTTTATACATTATAAACTACTCGATATCTCTTCTTGTTTTCGAGATAAATATATCTGTTTATAGATTTCAATAAAATTTGAATGCATGTGTACATATATGAATGAGTCAATGAATTCAAATGAAGATAAATTAGCTATCGTGATAACAAATAAAACATAGCAAAAAAAAGTTGAACTTAAAAAAAGAAAATCATATTTTCTGTTCGTAAATTAAATAATAATTAAAAGATAAATATAAATTGTGTAAACTTTGATGGCAAAAATAAGATTTTTAAACAAATAAAAATATTATATCGAGGGCAAAAGAAAAATCAATTAAAAATAAAAACAAATACGCTCGCATTTCCCGCGTTTAAAAAATATGTCAAAATACGATTATGGAAGAGTACTTTAAAAAAAAAAATATGATCGTCTCTACGACAGGCAACATGACGTCACAGCGTACAAGTTCGGATAAATAAAAGCTGAGTATTGTTTTACAAATCTGCGTTACAACAGTCGTGCGACCGTTACATGCGTATTACTATTATTATTATAAACTATGATATATTCGTCGTACAGTGTTAAAATCAACTCTAATAATACTATCAGCTTGACATCGAAAGGTATGGATAATATGATATCATCTTATATTATAGTTTATCGCGTTAAATAGGTTACGTTACCAATTTTAATCGCATTCATCATTCTTACACAGCTCATGCTTTTAACATTTATCCTTTACCGTAGCCTATTCGAACGAGTTTATACTCGAAAATCATTTATCTTTCGTCTTAACATTTTTACAAGATATTCGATTTTAATCTTAACCCTTTAAATTATAAACAATATTCATTATCTAAAAACAAATATAATTCTATACAAAGAGAAGAAAAAATATTACGATTCGTGTAAAAATTTTACATGACGACCATCGTGATAGGATCATGTTTGCTTACTATGAACCTACACGTACACGATTAGATTTGTTTCAACATATCACACGAATTCTCTTATCGTATGAAACAAACAAAATAAATAAAAAAGCAAAAAACGATCGAGAAGATTAAATGGTAAGCATAGTTCTTGGATGTAACGGTGTTTTTGAATTTTTAAAATTTTTAATCTTTCTCGTACAATAAAATTTTGCGGACAGTTGGAAATTTATATGGATCTTACATATCTTCTACATCAAACAAGATGCTTTTCATTTCGTGAGAATCGCATTGGCGCATATAAAAGTCGTTCGGTTTCAAGGTCGTTATGGGCTGGTCGATAACTACGACTAACGTAATCCCTCTTTCTTCCCTCCCTCTTCAACCTCCTCCAATCCTTCTTCTTCTCCTCCTCCTCTTCTACCGCTCTTTTCAAGAAAACCAATTCGAACTTGCGCTTTTAATGCACTTTTATTTCGCAACCTCGGTTAATTATCTTATTCTACATTTTTTCTCCTTCTTTTTATTCTTTTTTTTTTCCTTCTTCCTCTTATTATTTATGCGTATACGATCTAAATTCCCTCATGTATTATACAATCAAAAAACATGAATTCGATGAATATATTGGAATACATTGTTTTGGCACGTAAAACTAGTTTACACTGTTATTAGTATAAAGTGACACGCTTCTCTACACTTTCGATTTTCCCAAGCGTAATGCATATATATGTTTATGCATATGCATATTAATTGAAATATAATTTTTTTCTCTTCTTGACATTTGGAAAAAATATTTTATAATAAGTGTAACCTAACAATAAAAGAACAATTTTGTAACGGTTTGAAATGTATTAGGTTGCTTGAAAAGTAATTTCGTTCTTTCAATGATTATTAAATGACAATTTCTTCGTATTTAAAATTTGAAGCTTTTTAAATGGTCGTGAACAGGTCAAATTTGATAAATTCAACTTCTCGGTTATTTATCGCGTTGTCATACGACGATTACCATCCATCATTGTTTTTATTTTGCTGTCATCTGCTTCAACTGAATGACCAAGACGCGGTGCATTTTTCAAATCGATATTACCTGAAGGAAATTTGGAAAAGCAATTTTGATAAATGACGTTAAATTAACACATCCTTTTTGTGAACGGTACATAATTTATTTTTTGTTCTTATTTGCATTGTATTATTACCCTTACGGTAATAAAAAAGTAAAATATGACGAAAATGCTGACTTTTCATTTTTGATGCGATGCCAAAAAAAAAATATCTCGATAAATCAAAACACAAAAAGATTCTAAATCAAGTCCAAAACATATCTTGCTAGAATGCTAAATGATTTTTAGGTTTAGGTTAGGTATCAATTTTTGTGTGAAAAACGAAATTACTTACCAAGCAACCTATTTAATTATCAAGAAAAAATATCAATATTGATTTCTCTAATATCTACCATGTCATTCTTTTGTAACTTCGAAATAACAATAATAATAATTAGACTAGATATTGTTGTCAGTATTTATTACAGTATTAATTGTTGTTATTAAATACTATACACACTATGTATACGCATGAATATATAGTATTTTAACTTTCTTGAATTGATGATAAATATCAGCAAATGTTTAAAAATCAAACTATTCCGTACAAGTTGACGCATTCGCGCATCGAGAAATGACAAGGCAAGAACAATACAGGTCGATTCAACGATAACATTCAAGGCCGATCTCTCTCTTAAATACACGAGACCGTAAGGTTGCGTTTTTCGCGTAATCGAAGCACGATGCACTCGACTTACATATGTATATGTATATATATACATAAGAAGTGTGTGTATATATATATATATATACATACTTACGTTTAGGATTATGAAAAGTGCGCACGCATAACCTGCTCAAGTCGAATCTTACCAATCCCGTTCGATCGTAGCGTCACGTGATGGCGAGCGTCGATCATTCGACCTATCGAATAAAATCGGTATCGTTTCACGCCGGGTATATAATGGCGACACGCTTCACGGCATAAATATACGATCTAATTTCATATTACGCGGGCGCGCGATTTAATATACGCGATTAAACATTATAAATAATCATTTTATTTGATAAGCTAATTCGATCAATTAATGTGACATTTTATTAGAATATATTCGAATTTATAAATGAAATAATTAAGTAATTAAAAAATTAAAAGAAAAGATGACGATGATGATAAAGAAAATTAAACATTTATTTAATTAGCATGTCGTGAATTTAGGATAAAGCTGTCAGAGAAAGGAAATGATTTCTGCGCGAGTAGTACGACTGGTTGATCAGTCGACGCGCCGAATAAACATATCGTAGCTTACCGATAATAGCCGAAGCTGTTAAAAAGATAGGAAGCAAGCAAGCGAGCGAGAAAGAAGGAGGGAGGTAGTGGGAGAAACGAGAGAGACCACGAGAGGGGTAATGCAAAAAAGAAGGAAAAGAAAGAGAAAGAAAGAGAGTCTGCCTGCAACGAGTAAAGCGACATCACTGATCTTTTGCACGGCGAATGCATGCGCGAGTGCAAAAGAAAATCGCCTTGATTTAAAGCCGGCGTGTTGTACTAAGTTGGTCGAATGTTGTCGTTATCGTGTGAACTCGAAATTAGTCGAAAGGAGGAAAAAGAGTCTTCGTCAGTTAATACCTGCGGCTGGACATTTTGTAAATAAAAGTCTAACAGTATTAGTGATAACATTAGTATTAATAATAGATAGTAGTAGTAAATTGTAGTATTAGAGTAGTAATATAGTAACAATAACAATAGTAAAATACAGTAGGTCGTTTTTACGATACGTAGTAGGTTGGATAGAGAGTGCGCTGGTGATTTTTTCGTTTGTGGTGTGTGTGTTTCCTTCTCTGTCAGTCTCCCCTCTCATTCGGTATGGCGTTCACACGTAAAGATACACAGATACATGTTCGGCTTTCGACGTTCTCGTCCTTTTACCTTCGCCCATCGTCGGCTCCATAGTAATCAGCCGGTACACAGCGCGTACGGGAGCTACGGCGTCGTTTACGTACTACACAACATACGACAACTTTTCTTTTATTCCGTACCTTTATTCCTACGTACGTAAGAATAGTAAATACGTTCACGTAAATTCATTCGACAGTTCCGTCGTTGATTCGTATGTTGGTTCGTATGTTGGTTTGTTCGTTTTTTTGACTTGTTCTTTAACTTAGCTATTTGTTGGCTCGTCGTTTCTTCGCTCGTGCATTCGAGTGGCCATGCGAGAAAGGGATAAATCGGTGACGGGCGGCTGGCGGCCATCTTCCAGATGACTTTTTCCCCTTTCTTCCGATAAGCGGAGTGCACTATGCCGTGAAAGAGAAACGAACGGGTAGAAAGCGAGAGAGAGAGAGAGAGAGAGAGAGAGAGAGAGAGAGAAAGAGGGAGAAAAAAAGAATAAGAAAGACCATAGGAAGGAAAGAAAAGGTGAAGAAGTAATCATTATGCGTTGTGACGTGCATTAAAAGAAAATATCGTGCTTATTTCAAGTACGACCATTTATCAAGTAGAAGAAGAAGACTATTTAACCTTCTTAGTGTTGAACGAATTAAAAAAAAAACGTCGGAAGTGGGAGAGAAATATAGAAAGGAGGAGAAACAGTCGGTCGGCGTAGGAGTCGGAGGGGCCAAGAGGAGGAAGCCAGGAATCGAGCGAAGAAGAAGAGAGAGAGAGAGGGTGAGAGAGAGGGTGAGAGAGAGGGAGGGAGGGACAAAGAAAAGAGAAGGAGAGAAAAAACATCGAAAATCTTCCCTCTCCACCCTCCATGTTCTATTACCCTGTACATATTTACGCCTGTAGTTTATTTCTACAATCGTCAAAAGTCGTATAACAGATTCGACGCGGATCAATTAATAATCAGTCTCTCTTTTCAATCGCATTGATTTTTTACAAAAAATCCTCGGTAAAGTGCGCCCAATTGAACGTACAATTGTTGTAATGATTGAGAAAAGTTCGACTATCCGTGAGTAATTATTACCTGCGGACATAACCTCGAAATTGTCCAGTGAAAACATTTTAGTTAAGAAGAAGAGAAGAAAGAAGAGAAGAAAAAAAGGAAGGAAAAAAGAAGAGGCCAATCAAATTCTTCCATAACCTCTCTCTCTCTCTTTCTCTTTCTTATCCGTTTATATTTGACAACGAATTTTGGACTTGCATTTGTAAAAGAGCGAGAAAGCGGCGAGGTTTCACGGTTACATTTACAACAGGTACAGGTCGTTGTAAATTCGACATCTTTTCTGATCGACCATTCCTTCTACTCTGTCGTCGTCGACAGTTTTTCCTTTTCCCTTTTCGTTTTTGTCCTCGTTCTCGTTGTTATTGTCCTCGTCATCATCAGCGCATTTCTATTGTAATTCTTTATTCTCTTAATCATCGTCATCGTCATCGTCATCGTCATCGTTATCGAACGAAAAACGACGACATCATACAATTTTCATTAACCCATTTTCAATCTTTGCTCAGTCGAACAATTGTCATTGAATCAGATTTGGATTTGTTTCACTTTTGAGACACCATAACCTTTTCTAAATTAAACATCCTATTCATTGTTGTTTCTGTTTCCAGTTCTGATCTTCGAATTTTTTCAATGCTATTTGCATTTTCTTTTTTATGTATCTTTTCTTGTTCGATACTAATACTTTGTAATTATTTTGATTGATTGGTTGTAAATGTTTAAGTTTGTAAATTGTAGAGTGTATGGATTATATTTATTCATACTGAAACATAGTTTTGATGATCTTTATGTACTTCTAGAAATTGTTAATTTAATTTCTTCCTAAGTTACTAATCCAATCAATTTGATCATTCATCGATTAGAATATCAATATGCATAATGGAAAAGGTGCAAAGATGTAACTATGTAATCAGTTTTGATAAAACCAAGAACTCATTGGTTTGTTCTAAGAAGCTTGTGAAAAAGTGTATTTAAAGTGTTGTAATTTTATACCAAAGACAACTGTGTGTTGTGACTTACTCGAACAAGATGGATATCAGTGTAATAATGCAGTGTCGACTTTACAGATGGATAAACAGGGATGACTGAAAATTGTTGGAACTCTGGTGGTGGTGAGTCTCACTTTGTAATTTTGCATGCATGAAAATCTTTAGTTGTTAAGAGAATCTTCTAAATATATTTTTCTTTTTTGCTAATTGTTTTTATTTTATTTCTTTTCTTTTTTCTTCTTTACGATGAGCCTCGATGAAAGGAAATTTTATTGTTTACGTATAACTTCAACATCAATAGTTAAATGTACTTATTCTAAAGATATCAAAGTAAAGTCTGATTTATTTCATCGCTCTTAGCACAATACACTTGTATTAAACTTCTAGTTGAATCAGCATTATTCTTGTAATATTATTTGCCATAACAAAGTTGACATCTTTTTCTGCTTCATTGAAAATAATAAGATACATAAATCTATATTTCTTTGCGCAATATCTAAGATAGATTAGATAAGCTAGGTAAGAATTTATAGGATGACATTGAGTCTTTAACGGGCCATCTTATAACGCATAATTATGACTTAACATAATTTCTGATCATCGTAGGCCTGTAACATATACATATACTTTTACATTTTTAGTTTCTGACTTGCGCAGTATGACACATAAAAAATCTTGCTGGTTGTGTTACAAAAAGGAATAGGTTTTAAATTAATTTGATTATTATTTTAATTAGAACAAAAAATAAAAAGAGTTGAGCAATTTTTGGTTATTGAGATGATGAGCATGAAATAAAAGCCTTTTCGATGTCTAGATTTTATTTCTAAATTTGTAAATAGCAAATGCTTGTTCCTGATGCGCATCGCTTTATCAAATATTTTAATTGAATTATTTCTTTTAATCATCGAATACAATAACATATATTCTAGATATAATTGTTTAACAAACCGAGATAGAAAATTGTAGGTCTCGGTTAGAAATTTAAATACCAATGAGAAAAATTTAGTAATCGTATATGATCTTTTGTATCTTAAAATACCTAAGATTGCATAACTTAATGTCCCTAAACATTTAATAAAATTTCATACAAGAGAATAGGACATATACAAATTTAAGTATCATTATAATCATCTTTTTTTTAATTATATTATTTTGAAATTCTCATGATTCAATTATTCTCAAAATTTTAAATAAAACAATTTTATTAATACCGCAATTAACTTGTAATTAAATTATTTCAAAGTTAACAGTTAATTTTTTTTTTCTTTTTTCTTTTTTTTTTTTTTTTTTTTTACATAAAAAGGAAGCATCTTTAAATTACTGTTAATTCATTTCCATCTGTTATCTCAATTCATTTTCTTTTATTATTATTATTTCTGTCATATCGAGACAAATACGTCCATCTATTCCACGTAATTACTATCGTTATCAACATAAACGGAAAAAAAATATTTCATCTAAGAGATTAATATCGTACAATTATTTTATATGTTTGATAAAAAAATTTATATATCTTTTGGATTAATTATTTTCTAGTGAACAAAAAGAAAAAAAGAAAAAAATATCATTTATTATACGATTAAAAAAAAAGAAGAAGAAGATGAAAAAAATAGAAAATAAAATAAAAAGGAAAGGAAATAAACCTAATCCTCAAAGGGAAGCTTCTCGTAAGTAATTATCACGAAGCTTTTCGCCACCATGTTTTTTTCGTATTCATCGACTGCGACTGTCTAAACTCTAGAGAGTTGCGCAGGATCTTCTTCGAGTTTCTTAGTCTTATTAATATTTAATTACCCTTCGTACATACACACACGCATACCTTAAACATTCATTCCAAACATTGTATTTTATGTTCGCATAATTAAATTTTCAAATTTAAAACATGTTAAACACCCTCGTATCGGTAGGAAAATAATATTTTATTTCATTTTCATTTTAAAACAATCAGATGACAATAGTAATAATAAAAATAATAGGAATATGTGATGGAGTTAATTAAACGCAAAGATATAAAGTAAATTCATGAAAAATTCTAAAAGAGAATTTATTTTTCAAGACGTCCGATCAATCAGAATGGCTGTTGGGGATCAAATCTGCGATCAGCCATGTTTGTTTCGGTGTAGACGCACCTTTATGATAACGTTCAGGTTAAACGGCAAGTTTCGACACGATCTTTGAATGATGATGCGTATCTGTGTGCTGCTTATATGTGGATGATCTGTCTGTTTGTCTGTTCGTTTGTCCTATGTTGCTGTGTTTGCCCGTTGTGTCGTCGGTGTACTTACGTGCCGGGTTCCGTGCACTCCGGGGCTCATGAGCATTGAGCGCGTCATCGTTCGATGAAAACCGTGGGCTATGCACGTCGAGCTAGCGCTAAAGCGACACTTTAATCGCTAACTGGTCGCGCGAGATGTCTCTTTCCTGATTGGCTCCGCCATGTTTTCGTCAAATTGCGGGCGGGAACGCCAAATATCTTACAAATTCATTCCTATCATCTTTTGCTAGAAATACGCTAATAATCGATATTCATTTTCATGTTAATCGTGTAAAGAATTTCATTATTATTCACAATTCTTAATAGTCAAAACAGAATCATGTCTTTTGAAATTTTCTTTTATGCATGAATCGAGTTGTTTATTCGTAAACATTTAGATTTGAATTTAAATCTTTGGAAATAGTCATTATTATTAAAGAAAAAAAAGACCCTTTCTGTTTGATCGCGCACCTTTGTACGCGCCGATAGAAACTACAACTACGTGCATTCAATGTCCATCTTTACGCGCATGCGGATAAAAAAAACTCCGGTTTGCTGACTAAGTACTGTCAGAATCGCAAATATCCGATAGCTGACTTAGAAAAACATAGCTTCATCTTTATGATCATTTTTATGATGAGAGTAGAACTATTGGACGATGATGACGATGATGACGATAATGACAATAATGATGACAACGAAAACAACAACAACCACTACGATTCTTTTGCATATTGTTGATGAGGTTCGTTCTAATGAGGATTTCTATTTGTTCGTTTCTATTTCCTTTTCTCTGTTTCTGGCCCAATTGTTCTAAGGACGTTCGACCATGTAACTTGGATCGATCAATATTTCCAACGCCCAGATGAGAGAGAGAAAGAGAGATTCTTCTATATAAACTCGAGCCCAGTAGAACGTTTCTGTAGTATAGTTCGAAATGTATCTTCCCCTTCTCTGGTGTTCATTTATTATCGATCGAATTGTTGCTTTTTCGCAGAAGAAAAAATTCCTATGATAGATTATGAACGATTATTCGACATATGACATAAATTTTAAATTTAATATTCCTAATATCAGTTTTTCAAATTAAAATATGTAATACGTCGCGATTACGAATTCGCGTTAATCTTTTTATACAACATTTTCTAGAACAAGGCGGCACGCACATCTCTCTCTCTTTCTCTTCTAACGCAAGAAGAAAAAGTTTCGATCGGTGTATTCCTCAAAGAAGTTTTTTTTTTTTTTTTTTTTTTCTTTTTTTCATGCTCGGCAGATTGAAATAATAGTTTGTTGTTGTAAGTTTCGTTAAGTTGATGCTTGTGATATACAATGATGCAAGAATATTTGTTGTCACAATCTGTGATGAAAAAGATTAGGGGAGTAGCAAGATCGTAACGATACGTCCGGTTTAATATCGTTGTCGCGTAGTCGTTGTTGGACATCAACGACGACGACGACAACGACGAAGAAGACGTAGGAATAGAGGTCGTCACTTTTCAGGGCAGTGTCCTCCTGCGACTCGGCGCAATGTCGGCTGTGTTACCGATGTTTTGCGGAACCCAACGAACGGCAATCACGCTGCTCGCGACATTCCTCGTCTCACTGAGAATAGATCTACTCGGTACTCGTGAAATAATCTCTTTGGATGTTGTTGACTTACAGACTGAAACGTCTTAAACCAGTAGCCTGTTATTTTAGGATGCTCCAGAAAAGCGATTCTTCCATGTGAAACGTCCTCGCCAATGAACTTTGTTTTCTCCTATTCGTAAGTAAATTTCTATGATAAAAGAAAACAGGAAAGAGAATGATATAGTATAAATACATTTATATAAAGTTTGTAAAAACAATTATTGTTTAGTACAAACAATCAAACATGTTAGAAATCAAACCAAATGTTTAATATTACTCAAATAATTTTTTATCAATAACAACAACAACAAAATAGCTATTTCTAATTCAGAATTACTTGAATCAAACATTTTTCCTTCGGTTCCCATTATTAATAAAACATTGCGGACAGATGACGAGATATCTCGTCTTTCATACGTTATTAAAATAAATATTTGACGCAAAAAAATATAATATCTAAACACTGGGATACGGTTAGCAGCAAGAAAATGTTTCATCTGCAATGTGTTAAGTAACATTTTTCAGTATTTTTTATAGAAATTTCTCGGTAGATTTGTTTTTTATTTGATCGTGGAATCAATGATGATCGTTTGGTTGAATTTGTGAAGGAGAAAGGACGAAAAGGAGAGGAGTTAGAGGTTGTGGAACGATGGCGTCAAGTCAAGCGTAAAATTTCTTGCTCCGGCGCCTTGCTTTTACATTGTACGTTCCACCTTCTTCTTCAACTATTCCCATTGGTGGATTTTCTCACGTAGCTTTTAAAGGAAGAATGCGATACGTTGTCACTATCTCGGATATACGCGGATATTTCTGATAGAATGATTTGTCGTTGGAAAAAATGTTCTCTTGAAAGTATATTAGTAGTAGAAAATGACATGGTAGAACGATGGCGGATTGGTAGACCAATTCGCGTTGCTTGGTTCTAATTTTCCTGGAGAGTAAACGATCGTCCTCCTGCAACAGAGTGGATACTTAAATAGATACGCGGAATGATTCAAGCATGTTGGAAAAGGAGTGTAGATACCAGAGAGGTATCATTAATTATTTTTAGATTCAGCAGAATTGTCGATCTCTCGTTGAACGTGTAAATCCGACGACACCGACTTTAATTAGCTGTCTTTTCTATCTCTCTCTCTCTCTCTCTTTACTTTATTTGAGGTTATATTAATTGTAACTGTGAGAGATTCTAATTTAATAAGATACTCGTCTAAGTATTTTATAAATTTCTCTCGTCAAACCTAATTCTCACGCTTGCCCGTTAAAAAAACAATACGTTTTTGCAACGACCTTTTTGCTATCATTCGTCCGCCATCTTTAATTTTTTACAAGCTCCATCAACTTTATTTCAGATGTCGCTTGTGTAAAATTTCAATCGTTTAGATTAGCTGGAGGAGAGGGTAGTTTTGAAGTTGCGTGTATATGATGATTTTCCCAACTTTTACGTATTTTCTTTTTTTTCTTTATTCTTTTTTTTTGTTTTTTCTTTTTTCTGTCTCTCTCTCATTGTTTTTCCGTTTCGTTTTGCGGTATACGTAATTGATCGAAGTGCAAAAAACTTGCTTGTACTTACTTACTTGCGATCGAGCTACTACTCGCGTACGGCCTCCTCGACTACTCGATTAATAAAATAACGGGGAACGAGACAAGCGTGACTCATTCTACGGTGCCTGCCCGTCAACGGGATTGTACTAAGAAACGACGAAAAAAAAAATATATAACCACGACGGTTTGTACTTATATATTTTTGTGCGTGCATGCACGCGCGTGTGTGTATCTGTATATGTACATCACGTTATTGGTCAAAAGTTTGGTTCAGATACATTTTTAAATACCTTAAATTGTTTCTTTTAAATAGAAACCTTTTTTTAATACAACTATATATATGCCATTAGTAATAATAATAATTATTATTATATGTAGGCCGAGAGATATTGAAAAGTTCTGAATTTAATAAAATTCAACTAAAATTAAACATTTTTTTCGGTCAAATTCACTTCTATTCTTCGACGTGGTCTCGAAAACTTTTATAAAATAAGCTCGAAACTTTTCAACTTACCCTCCTATATTATAATATATTATCAATAATAATAATTATTAATATTGTTATTATTTTATTTGAATGGTAAAATGAAGTAATGAAAAATAAAAAGGAATATAAATATTATCTTACAAACTTTTGATCGAACGTGTACTCGTACTTTGTCTGTCTCTCTCTTTATCTTTCTCTTTGTAAGTTTGTAACGCAGAATGCAATGCATGCCCATCCTTCTTTATATGTATATGTATGTAATACAAATGCGTATTCTACGTACGATTCACATTGAGAACGACTGGTAATGGTGGTGGTGGTGGTGGTAAAGCTGGTTGACCTCGGAAACTATCGTAAAATCATATTTTTTCTAAAGATTTTTCTCTTATACTTTTTAAAATAAATTAATTCATGAGAAAAAGAATAACAAACGAAAAGAACATCAATTCTAAAACACAAATTCTAATTTAAATATAAGAACTTTGTTAGATCGTGTTAATGAAATCATCTCTTTTCAATTTTTCTTTTTTTCTTTTTCTTTTTCTTTTTCTTTTTCTTTTTTCATCGTTATTTGATGGATTTTTTTTCAATCTCATTGACCTACATTCTTGATTTTATTTTTCTCGAATATAATAAATTCTTATTCATTCTCGTTTATATATTCGACTTCATATTTTAAAAGTAATATTTATGAGAAATATTAAGGAGATGCTTCTTCTCGTTCAACGTTAAGGATAAGTTTGATGGTTAAAGCGGAGGTGAAAGGGGTTGACGTTATCGCCTTTTTTGCGATAAATCGACTAACGAGGATTCCATTGTTATCGATGATGCGGCACGTTCTACAATCCTACTTCCTACTTATTTTGTTAAGAGGGCCTACGAATTTTGTCCGATAAGGCCTTCGTTTAAATTACCAAAAAGGAATCAAAATTACTCGCTGAAAAGAGAAGATCCCTTCCCTCCCTGCTTGTTACTTTTTATTCTTTCACGTTGGCTATCGTTGGCTTCCATTCTTGTGTTATTTCCTCTCTTCACACGTTTCCTATACTTCCGACGGCCATATTGGTTTTTCGAGAAAATAATAAATCAAATATCGTTTCGCATTTCAAATTCATTTCAAAATTGCATTTTCTATAAATGATTTCAATTAATAAAGTAAAAGACATACAATTGCGGTACAATAATGCTTTCAATTTTGTGTCCCAATGAGAATGTTTGAAGCTTTCCACTTGTCGATAATTAATAATCTTGACTTTTAACTGCATGTAGGAAAAAATAAAAAAAAAGTGGATCTCTTTCGTTTTGATGACGACGCCATAAGTGAAATTAATGAAGCTATTGCGATTGACAGGCATTGTTCGAACGTTGCTATTTGATCTCTAGGGGGCTAATTTGATGAAATTGGATCTTTAATAGGATAAATTTCGAATGTGAATTATTACGATACATTACATAATCTATGTGAATTATTACGATACATTACATTATCTATGTATCACTCAAATCCCTAGTTTCCATTGGGAAAATGATATTTACATTATTTCACTCTGTACAATTTAGTATATGTATCGATAATAGGTGTACATTGATCGTTTCAACATTAACGGACATTGAACTTTGATAAGGTGAATGAAATAGTTTGTAATTTTGAATTTATGATCGAATAATCTAATTGATAATGAAATAATATTTCTCATAATATTTTTCCCTAACTATTTTTTCTAATAGTTTCAATAGTTTTACTACAACAATCGTTATTAACAATTGACATTTTCATTTTTCCATTCAGTCGAATTTGAAAGTGTATATGTTTAATTTTATTTATGCAACGTATAAGCACTTCAAGACTAAATTAGCCGTCAAAATGATTTTAGCCAAGGTTATGAAGTAGCATGCGATTATATATAAGCTTATCATTCCTCGTGCGAAATAAGTTCGAAAAGAAAGAATTTAAAAATACGAACGGGTTTAGTGGATTAGTTAACGTTCGTTTGCTACTACTCGTAGAGATTATTAAAAAGTCGTTCGTGATTGCAATAAATTCATTCGAAAATAAATCGATGTATTGTGTAAAAACAAAAAAAGTATCGTTCAACGCGCCATTTTATTCGGCTTTATATTTATTCGTGAAATTATTTTTTTCAACGTGTTTTTATCGGAAAACGTATATTTCTTATTACTACTAAGAAGAAACTCAATTTTGTTTGTTAATATTTAATTGAGAACCACTGTCATGGTGTAGAACGATCCATTGACGCGCGTACGTGGTTCTTCATTCTCTTTGCTGCTGTCTCGGGCAAGGTAATCGGAGAACACCAGTGACTTTCATTCCTTTCTTTTAACTTATAAATCTTTATCGTCATTATTTTTATTTATTTATTATTATTGATATTTTTTAACGCATTGTTGACCAATCACAAATATACTGTTTATGTTGTTCACGCAAGCCACTTACGCAATTATTTAAAATATTAAATTATATTAATCAACATTGTTATAATATTTGTTTTCTTCGATATTATGTTTACTTAAAATGATTGCATTTACTTATATTTTTTGTAGTTAAAAGTAATTTGGACAAATTTGGAATATTTTAATTTACTTATTATTATAGACATTATTAAAGGCATTAGATTTGTGTATTTAATAGTCGGTCAACAATGTGTTAATAAGCATACTTATATCTTCGTAGTATATAAGATAAGAAAACAACTTTGTTGAAGGATAACAACGTTTATTCGGTTGAAGGTCTTCCGTGAAACGAGAAATAATATATATTTAAATATTCTTAATGCAAGAGAGATTATTTACCATCTTATATAATGTGGAACTTGACTAGAAAGTAGAAAGTAGTAACAATTAGACCAGATCTCTGTTCTTGATCGAATACATGTTGTGTACCGTTTTGTCGATGAGAGACATATCATGAATTTTTGTAAAATGTTCACGCCAAAAACAATCGAACATGCTCGAAAATTTCCATCAATTTTTTACGATCGAACTGCACACAATTATTTATGATATATATATATAAAACTTGAAAATTAATTAAAATTAATTTTCTTAAGAAAAAGATGCAATGAAATCTAGAAATATAGATACAGGATCAAAATTACATCGAGTTTTAAATAATATATTTATGAAATTTTGCTGACGTAGTATCATCGACCGTATCAATTGCATGTACCACATTTTATAATATATAATTAATTTTTGTCATTATTATTATTATTGGTAATATTTAAATTTCCCGATTCGATCTGGAAAAGAAAGTTAAAACGTTTTTAATCATTAGGCGACACACCCTTTTTTATACTATAATTCCTTTCGAACAAAAAAATATACAACATATTTGCACTAACCATTATACTTATTATACATATCTGATCGAAATAGATGATAAATGATATGCCATATCAAAGAGTAGTTAATTATAATAACGATCGAACTGTTTACTACCCACGGCCATAGTTTATTATGGTACGACATATCTCAATAAGTGTTTGTCCTTGTTCAAAAATATACGAATCGATTTTACAATTGCTATTTTCATTTCATCGATATCTTCCTCGCGATAAAAATATCGAATATATTCATACTTTCTTCTCGTTAACTCGTTAATTACGAGTACAACAATACCAAATTACCCAAAAAAATTGAATTCCTCATTGAAAATAGTCATATTATCTCTAAGTTTGTATGTAAACTACGTTTCCTGTTTAAGTTACATAATTTCCAATACTTTCATCGATGTAACTCACTCGCTTTTACATTTTTAAATACTTACGATAATTCGTTTAGGTAATTTCATTTAAATTCGTAACTCTCCAAAGGTTTTTTCGACTTAGATATAGGTAGTATTTATTTATTCATTCATACTCCGTCCCATACTAAAACCCTTTCGGGTTTGGAGGGCTTCCGATACAGATATAGGTAGTATTTTCCAATATTTATATAATTACTTTTGGAGATTAGGAATGTTCTCGTTAGCGTCCTTCCATCCTCGTTTGGTTGCTTTGTTTCAAGAAATACGTTTCGAGTTAGATTGTTGTCTCCGTTGAAATTGAAAAAAAAAAAAAAAAGAAATTGGGTATAATTCGTTCTGTGACTTGTTGTTGCAGGCGCTGGCGTCAAGATGGAGCACTTTCAGGCCACCCTGGACCCAAGGAAGCAGGAGTTATTGGAGGCCCGCTTTCTCGGAGCGAGGGTGAGCTTACATTTAATTTTGGTCCTTCCCTTCTTCTAAACGCGTGTTCGGTTTCGTTCCTAGTTTCGTTAGTGTTAGGAATATTAGTCAGGTTTAGGAAATAGTTCGTTAAAATATATAGGCAAGGAAATAGAAAACTACTCGCAGGAATGGAAGTTCCGATTGTAAAATCTTTTCAAAGATGTCGCATGGGAAGCAAAATAGCGGGGCGGCCATATTGGATACGAGAATATTTTCAAACAACGCTATTGGCTCTCGCATCGGCAGACATTTTTTTTCTCTCCCTTTCTTATGATTGGTGATGGTCTGTAGATTTTCTCTTTTTATTCCACTCTTTTCGTATAGATGTATAAATATATTCATAGTCGACCTAGAAAGGAACAAAAAAGGGGTAGTAGGGATTCTGCTCTCTTTCAAAGAGTTCCAGGCTACTTTGCGTAATGTCCCGAAGAAAATGAAAATGCGAGCTTGGCCGAGTGGCATGGATACGTCGAGTATATTGAGTTTCTCTGAAAGATTTCTATCGATTCTCTTTTTTTCCTTTCTTTCTTTCTTTCTTTCTTTCTTTATTTCTTTATTTCTTCCTTTCTTTATTTCTTTATTTCTCTTCTTTTCAGAACAAACGAAATCACATCGATCCATGAATATTTTGTTGGTTGGAAAATACTTTTTTCGACCTAACTTTATAGAAATCAATTATATAAATATATATTAACGACAATTTGAAATTGTGATTACACGTTTAATTAAACAAACAAGTTTGATAGACGTGTGCCTTGTATCAATTCGATTAATGTATTTCTCATTGTGTATAACGGAAGTTGGTATGTTAGTAGCGCGTTTAACGACCATTTATGTCATATTACGCGAACTTAACGCGAATGTCATTGTGAAAGCCCCGTTGAAAGCAGAAGGGAGAAGAGAACGCGAAACAACAATGTCGACAAGCATGGATAATGCATTGAACATGCGCAAAACTCTAATTTTTCATTTAATCATTCACTTATCTTTTTCACAAAATCAAATTTCAATTTTCTTATTAACACCGATATTTACGAATTCTTTTTTTTTTCCTTCCCTTTCCTTTTTTTTTTTTTCTTTTTTTTCCGAAATCGATCAAATTATTTTCCATTCAATTATTGCACAATTATTTTGTTTTATTTTTAGCTTTAATAATTAATGCTAATTAAATAGTCAGATGACGATCCCTTATTATGTAGTTATAACGATCATTCGATAGAGAAACTTACTATACGTTGCACTTACGAATGAGTTGGCGAGCGTGACCGATCGTAAACGTATTCTCAAAATTACTATATTTTTTCACGTTATCATATTTAAACAATAGATGGCGTGATCTGTATTTAAATGAAATTTTTTTTTTCTTTTAAATATTCCATTCGAGCAATTATCTACCATGACACATCCTAAAACTATGAAATATGCTTTCTAAAACAGGACAATCGTTAAATAAATATTTCCGAATGACGAAACAGGCTTATCATTTTCACTTTTAAATTTCCATCTTAATATATTCTATCGATAAGAAATATAATTATAAAGAAAATTAAGCGAAATAGAAATAAACCAATGCGACTATAATTATCATCTCTCTCTCTCTCTCTCTCTCTCTCTCTCTCTCTCTCTCTTTCTCTCTCTTTCTCTCTCTCTCCCTCTCCCTCTCTCTCTCTCTCCCGTTTTGTTTTTTAATTAATTTGCATTTAATACGATTATTTACGTTTTAAACACCTCGTCTTCGATTAATTTACACGATATTTGAGTGAGCCGTTAAAATGGGATAAACGTGAATTGACTAACGTTTTAACATTGCCATTTAATGTGATACAACGTTGTACGATTTCTCTTTTTCTCTCTCTCTCTCTCTCTCTCTCTCTTTCTCTTCCTATCTGTGTTTCTCATTCTTTCTTCATCCATATTACGATGTGTTCCCCAAGCTCCTTTAAATAATTCCACTTGTAGCTTTCTGCAACGGCACGGTGGGGGAGGGGGAGAGGAATAGTGACGCTGAGTAAACAGGAAAGACCGCTATCGGTACGATGTAATTTAATTTGTGTTCGAAAGACCGTACATTGCTGAGCAGAAGCTCAATTTCGTTCGTATATTCATTTCTTCGGTGTTTATACGTTCCTTTTTTCAATGTTATAAGAAAAATACTTCGAAAAAAAAAAACAAGAGAGAGAGAGATTCTTAGATAATGAATCCACTTCAATGTCTCAACAAGACTACACAATTTTATTTTCTTTATCTAGACGACAATTAAAACTTTAGCATAACTGGGCGACAAGATGAGCTTTCGACGGTTTTTTTATCGAGATTTTGTTTCCGAGAAATATTACGTTAGCTATATTTTTTTTCCTTTTTTTTTTTCCCCCATATTTTTCGTGGAAAAATATTTATCTATCCCTATATTAGAGTGAACTTTTTTCCTATTTTTTTGTTTTTTTTCCTTTTTTCTTCTTTTTTCCTTTACCGTCATTAATTCATATTTTAATCTCTCTCTCTCTCTCTCTCTCTCACTCTTTTTTTAGAGATTTTGACCTTCTTTACTCGTATACTCATGGAATGTATTTTCGTCATGTTACGCCATCAGAATAATACGGGTTACTACTAAAGCCATAAAATCGAAGGATCCCAAGAACCTCTGAAATAAGCAAAAAGAAAATATAGAAAGAGAGAGAGAGAATTCGTCCTTCCTTCCTTTCTTCCATCTTATGGTTTAAAATGAATGTGCTTTAGCGATCATACCAACAATAATATTATTTTTGACTTATATCGTTCGAATATATATATTTAATCGTATTTCTTTCGAGATTTATTATTAAAAAATAAAGAGAGAACAAAAATTCATCTTAATTGAATCCTATTGAATATTTCGACTAAAATATTGACTTGAATTTTCCCCACCAAAAAAAAAAGATCAACAAATCGATTAAACGCACATTAGTAAATTTGATAAAACTAAAATTATATATAAAAAAAAAAAAAAAAAAAATATATTCGATCAAATTTGTTTCGTACAAATGCAAGATAAGAATCGAAGTGTAGAAAAATAACGGCCAAGGTCGTGTATAATAAGAGATGATTTAATAGCATTGAAGAAGACGTCTCTCGATTTCTCGAAACTCGCATTGCCAGTNTTTTTTTTTTTTCTTTTTTTTTCCTTAACTTTCTCTTCGGTTCCTTTTTTTCGGTCAAAGTTATCGGCAATTTTGAAGACGCGTCAACCTTTTTTTTTTATAGATTATCAAAATAAGGGCTGAAATGTTACTAGGAAGATTTTCTAGGAAAATATTTCTCTTCGTTATTATTAGTCGTGCTAATACCGAAATGTCGTCAGCAATGCGTTCACATGCATTGTTATTGTCAGAACTGTACCGTCCACGTGATATGCAATTTATTATTATTTCCGTGTTTTAAAACGATGCTCCAACAACAAGTATTCTTTTATCTTGTAATTCAATTCACGTAATATATTCTCTCTCCAATGATTCGATTGAAATAATTCTTCGAATTTTAATAAACGGCTACTTTGATAATAACTTAACTTTATAATTGTAATCCTATGACCTTCTTTTTTAATGTGTATACAGTTAAAAAGCCAATCATCTTATTTCATTACGACACTTTATTCTATTATTTCTAGTCTAATCATTTAACCGTATTCCACCTTGATCGATAAAAAACGATAATGATTTTTGTTTATTTCGGTATATTTCGAGTCTTGTTCGTTATGCTTTTCGGTTTAGTTGGATTAAATTTGATTGAAAATTAATGTAGTCTTTCTCCCTCTCTCTCTCTCTCTCTCTCTCTCTCTCTCTCTTTCTCTCTCTGTTCACATTCATAGCAATATTCCCTCGTACTAACTTAGAAAATAACAAACCACCATTACTATTACCACCACGAACATACTACCATCATCAGTACTACCACCTACGCTATTTCGTCGTCCATTCAGCGAAAGTCGATACCGCAGATTTCGCATCCGTCGTCGTCGTCGTAGTCGTCGTAGTCGTTGTCGTTGTCGTCCGTTGTGTTTCCTTTTGTCGTTCAAGACGACGACGAGAGAAGGAGAGTGCCGACTTATTATTATTATACCCGTGCCTAAAAGAGCGTTCAGGCACGAAAAGGTGTGGCCAATTGCTGAGTACTCTCTTTAACCGCTCGTAGGAAATCTATCTGTCTGTCTGTCTGTCTGTCTGTCTTTCTTTCTTTCTTGTTTTTATTATTTCTTTTTATATATATATATATACATAGATATAGATATAGTTATAGTTATAGTTAGGTAGGTGTAGGTAGGTAGATAAATAGATAGATAGATAGATAGATAGATAGATGTATATGAAAAGCTCAGCTAGGGTCGAACACAATATCACGTGGCGCTCTCACCGAGAACGTAGCAGTCAAGTGCACGAGTCTCAACGTTCGCTTTGTTTCGTGTTTGACTTCGGAAAACATCGATGTCCGATGGTGGTGACTGTGTAGTTAGGAAAGAGATGGAAAGGGAAAAGCCATCATCTTGGCAACACTAGAAAACACATCGGGGTTAGTGTTCGTTCGCACAAAATGGACATTCATCTATCTATCGACATCTATCGCACTATTTTTCCGTTTCTCTTTCGGGTATGTGTTTAAATATATATATATAGTATATATTTGAGTGTATAGTTGAAGATATGTGTGCGCAAGTGTGTGTGATCGTTAGAAAAAGAAGCCATTTTTGTCGGAGTTTAAAGGTTTGTTGTATATTTTAATATTTAATTAAATTAACCGCAAGTTTTTTTTTTTTCTTTTTTTTTCGTTTTTTTTTGTCGATTTTTTCTCTTTTTTTTTATTGAAAAGTTTTTTAACCGATGACATTTTTCTAAATGAATTTTAGACTTTTTATACGTTGTATATATGTCTAAGTATAATAATTTAATAAGAAAAAAGTACGAAGCAATTTTAAAGGGATGAAAAAACAAAGAAGATCTTTAATACAA